AAAACTCGATATGAAGGCGTCTAGGACCTACCGTTGATTTTCGCCATTTTTTTTTTTGCTGACAGCGCCTCTTCCATACAAAAATGACTTTTTTTTAACAAAAAAAATGATAAAAATCGACGTTAAATCTTAGCTAATTGCACTTTATTTTAATAAAATTGAATGTACCACGAAACTGTATACTGAAAATCCTCTAAAAGGGTTTCTACAAAAGTTTAATTTTTTTTTTTTATATTGCACAAAGTTTGAATCTAAGATTTATACGATTTTTTTAAGAGTAAACCCTATCTTTACAAATACAAATACAAAATAACTAAAATTAAATGATAAAAAAATATAGTTATTATTAAAACTTGTCAATATGTGGCGCGTTTAAAATTTTGACACGGATCAAAAGGAAACGGTTCTGTAAAGGCTTTATTTCTTAATTATATGTAGGAGGGTTGCCACCTGTTTCAAGCAAGTTCGAATTAAATAAAGGCAGAAAATTGAAATGTATTTTCTGATATGGATGTCCGACGAAAGAGGTTGTGGTTTGAAAATATTTTGCAGAGGGTTGCCACCTTCTTACAAAGCTAAATTCAATATTAGCAATAGGTTAAATAAACTACTTCAATATGAATATAAATCGAAATTGCTTTGAAGAAATTTTATTTCTAAACTGCATGTAGGAGGGTTGCCACCTGATTTTATAATTAAATTCAATTTTAATTAAGAGTATTAGATAATTTAAATATGTATCACAATATAAGTGTCATACGAAAAAGGTTTAACGAAGTTTTGGTTTAAAAATAATTTGAACAGGATTGCCATCTGCTTGAAAAGTCGAATTAAATTAAATTATATGAAGTATTGAAGTATGAGTATCAAACAAAAGTGTATTAAAAATATTTAGTTTCAGCATTTATAACATTAAAGAGGGTTTCCACCTGCGTAAAAAGTTAAACTCAAATTATTGAATAAGTGAAATGAATTATCAAAGTAAATAACAAGTACTTTCACATTCGATTTATTTAAGGAAATGCCATTATCTAGATATTGCCTTGAAATTTAATAAATACGAATATATGTTTGTATGTACATTTATTTCCATTCTATTGTAGGTCGTCTTGTTGTTGTGCAAGCTGCGACCGCAATACACGTTCTCACATACACGAAAATCGCAGCCACCCTTGTTGGGAATGGTCGCGCTGGCTATAGCCTTACCGCCGCCATCTGTGCACGAGATCCGTCTGGAATGCGACATGTTTGTTACGCGGATCAATTTCGATTTACGAATAGCGCACTGTGAACCAAGGTAGGTGAACCAATTGTTGTACATACATAAGTACATAACGACGGACGGCTGAGTGGAAGATGGACTTATCTCGGCAGCCGGTTCGAAAGCACCCTATCTCAGAAAACTTTTCAAGAACGTCCTACTTCAGAATTTGGTTGAACAACGCCCTATCTAAACTGAAAATATATTGAAAATATGTTGAGATAGGGCGTTGTTGAACAGAAGTATGAAATAGGGCGGACTTCAATCGAATTCTGAAATAGGGCGCTCTTGAAAATGTTTCTGAGATAGGGCATTTCCGAACTGACTGCCGAGATAGGTCGATCTTCCCTTCAGCCGGCGATATACATATACATATGTACGTAGTTATGTAAGTTTACAATTGACAAATATTCTTGAAAATTATTCACAACTATTTTTAACTACTTCGATTTCCCATAAAGGGTATCCGACTTGCTGGACTATTCTCCGGAGGATCTGGTCAATAAGAGCATGTACAGCTTGTGCCACGCCGAGGACGCTATCCGGTTGAGAAAAAGCCACATGGATCGTGAGTGTCACTTGTTATTTTTCATATATCTTAACATTTATTTATATCTGATATTTATTATCTACATTACCTTTGGCAAATAATGGACCGTAATTCAATAATCACAATTTTAATTCATTGTATTTCAGTGATCGAGAAGGGCCAAGTCCTTACAGGTTATTTTCGGCTGATGAATAAGAATGGCGGCTACACTTGGCTACAGACCTGCGCGACAGTTGTTTGCAGTACGAAAAACGCAGATGAACAAAACATTATATGCGTGAACTATGTCATTAGGTGAGATCTCGTAAGACCGTGCCTTGTCTATTTCAAAAATGTCTATTTCTTTTTGCAGTAATCGAGAGAATGAGAATCTCATATTGGATTGCTGCCAGTTGGAGCCCAGTGTGGACTGTATTAAGCACGAGGAGCTTGGCACTGATAAGAATTCAGGTTCACCAAGTGGCGATGCCGCACCCGAAGGTCAAGCGGGAGTGGGAGGAGACACAAAATCATCATCTCCCAAGACAGATGGAGATGGGCACCACCAGCGTCCCCGTGGGCGAAGTACGAACTCAGCGGCCAATACCAGCGCCAACAGTTTAACGTTAGTGAAAGATAGTCCAAATTCTGTAAACGTCGAAATGGAAAATACGGCGAGTTCCTTGCCTGCAACTGTAGCTACACCAGTGAGTACGCCCAATACAACAACAAAACGCAAACGAAAATCCAAAGCTTCCATGCAAATGGAAGATACCCCGGAAGTTAGTACGGTTAGTACACCGGTGGCAGATTCACAGCCGCAATCCAAAATAGCCGCAATGGAGCGGGAGGCACCGCGCAGCCGTCTGCCGTCAACGGTCGAGCAGATGTCGCAGCCGCAGCAGCACGTTCAGCTCTCGCAACAGCAATTGCAGCAGCCACAGCAACCGCAACAGCAGCAGCAACAACATTCTGAGGCGTCAGTGAAAGATTTAGAAAATGCTATGTCGAAACACCTGCCTTCGCCCGGAGTGAACGCCAGCGAGGCTACACCCGCTGCCACCGATTTTAGCGCCGATGCACTGTTGAAGCAACAACAACAGCACGAAAAAAGCAGCACAATTCAATGGATCGGCACACCCCACTATCAGCAGCCTGCCCCCATGCCAGCCACCGCACTACTAAGGCAGCTGTACGCGAACCGCGAAAGCGTCATTAGAGCAACCGCCAGACAAACACCAACGGGAGTATTCTACGGTGACCAGCAAAGCGGACCCTTGCCCACGCCCCCAGGCAGTGAGTCCTCTTACGACAACCACCAATACCTGCAACTTCACCCCGCTCATCCGCAAAAGTCATCGTCCGATGCATTCACGAACCTGGTATCGACATACGGCGGATATCACAGCTCCATCGATTACCACAACGCAATGACCCCGCCCAGCTCAGTATCTCCGCGGGACACCACCAACAACTTAAATGCAACCAAGGCGACCTCACACAACAGCAACGGTTACGACTACAGTGATCCACTACGCGTTCAATATGCAACACCCAACAATGCCGGCGAGAGCGGCAGCACACCCGCCCTTCCCCTCAAACCTCAACCCTACTCAGCCGCGACGGCCACCATGCACCATCCGCACTCGTCTGCCGACCCCACCAGCATCACCTACAGCAATCTGGATCAGCCACAGTACTTTGCTCCACATTCCAGCTTCCATTTGTACCACAAGGGTACACCAACAAGTGGCTGGTACTCGACACCGTCATAGGTCAGCCTACCGGACTGCGATTTGCAGCGGCAGTGTGGACATCACCAAGAACAGTCCCTACAGCAAGCCCAGCTGCATCCGAAAGAAGGCTGGGACATTGTGGGTGCACTAGGCAAAGTTGCAAGAATGTTCTTCAACGCCCGGAGAGGGAATTAAAAGCGATGATGCGATACGACGATGCAAAAACTTTTTGGGTGGTGGCCCGTAGCTCCTCTTTAGCATGCGCTCGGCCGGAAAGTAATGAATAAATACATACTTATGTAGGCACAAACATGATTTGCCTAACAAGATAAACACATTCGTATATGCATCCATAAAAACATACATACATACAGTCCCTCAATGAAGTTTAGAAACAGCGAACTTTTTACAATACCGGCAACTATTTATTAATTACATTTATTTCTCGCTATTTTTTTTTTTAAATATGATTAATTATACAACAAAATCCCCAAAAAAAGAAAATTCCGCAAAATTTCATTCAAATATTGCACAGAGTTGAGTACGCAGTTTTTTAGCCCATTCAATTCTAGTATAACGAAGTGCAAGTTTGAGGTGGCTAGGACTTACCATTGATTTTTACGAATTTTTTTTTGTTGAAGGTGTCGCTCATTTTCTCCATATAAATTAATGTTCGATATTTTTTTTATATGCAAAAAAATTTGCGACATCGTCAACAAAAAAGAATTGCCAAAAATCAATGGTATGTCCTAGCTTCCTCATACTTGCACCAAAATTGAATAAACTAAAAAACTGCATACTCAACTTTTTTCTAGAGAGCGTAAATAAAAAGTGCAATATTTGAATGAAATTTTGCGGAGTTTTATTTAATTTTGCACAAGGTTTGGAACTGTAGAATTAACCATATTTTTATAAAAGTTAGCGAAAAATAAAAAATTTAAAAAATAGTTGCCCGTATTGTAAAAAATTCGCTGCCCCTAAACTTTATTGACTGACTGTATGTATATATTTATGTCATATACTACATATGTATTTACATGGATAATGGGCTCATATGAACTTGTAATATGATATGTATTAGTGGCGTACACGAACACAATATTACATAACTGTATACAAACAAATGAGTTCCTTAGAGAAATGCGCAAATCAAAACTCTCAATTAAAAAACAAAAAAAAAACTATTTACTTATGTTCCAACGATACAAAAAGCATAAGTTGCATAACATTTTATAGCGTAAAGATGTAAACAAAATGTGCAATTTTATAAACAGTGTATAAAATATACATATGTATGTACATACATACATACATGCATAGAAATTCGATATACTCCCATAGATTGACGATTACCCATCCCGAATTGAAGGTGAAAAAATTTCGGCTAAAAACTTGTACTGAAATTACGACGCCAAAGGACATTGCATCGCACGTTCGAAAGATTTTGCATAAACAGCCATGATTTGAAATATAGTAATTCCGTAAATTTTTGTTCGCATTTTCTCGGAACTGATGCCGCCTATTTTATACAGAATTGGGGGTGAACAAGAAGCGACTTTGAATCTGACGCCGCTTCAAGCACCAACGAGATTCCCATCTTCGTAGATGAAACCAAAATAGACTTAATAACGGTACCTAGCTTACAGTTTTCTATATTACCGCAATGTTTTTCGGGCTGGGATCTATGCATAATGGGCCTTGATCACTCAAACCCCGCCGCATTCAAGTCGGCAACAACTACCTTGGTATGAGATCCCATCTCCTCTTCTTAAGTTGAGGAGAAAGAAGTCCAGAGTAGCTACTAACAGCAGGTGGGCAGATCTACCAAATGCAAAATGCATTGCGATCTATCTGGCTCGATTGTTCAATAAGCGAAGCTTAAAGTTTCTTACGCGAATACTAGCGGCACCTTGGGATACTGATCCCAGGACAGCCAGGGCCAGGTACAGGACCAGTAAAATATTAACCGGTTAACGTCCAAACGTAAACCCATCAGGAACGATACACTCTAAAAAATCTGTTTAAAAATGCGACTATAAATCGAGTATATTTTTGTTTATTTTTAAAATTTTTTGCTAAATTTACACGATAAATATGTATTTTTCTCGTTTACACATTTTCGTGTGTAAAAATACATTTGTTAGCGGCTTTACACAATTCTACGGGTGAAATCAAACAGCAGATGTGTATTTTGTAGCTTTTACACACTTTCGTAGTAAATTTACGCACACCACAGCAGCTATATTACACTCTAAAAAGTCCGAAATTTAAACAAACTATTCGTTGAAGAATCGAGCATGTAATTTCGCGAATAATAAGGTAGGAAATCAATAACCTACCTTTTAGCTAGGAAATCTACACAATTTTTTTTTAGAGTGTAGCTTTCGGCCAGTCCCCGATTTTCTGTTTCTTTTCCGGGTATGCTGTTTTAGTCACCATTAAATTTTAGCACAAATTTCAGTTTAGACTAGTATTAAACCTAACTATTTAGCTAGTGTTTGGGTGGACCAGTCCTGCTACATTAGCACACCTATTTATGACAAAAATGGCAATTGAAATCATTTGTAAGGAGCTAGTAATTTGGGTATGTATGTATGTATGTATGTACGTAGGTGTTCATTGGTGACTGGGTATGATAATAAATCATAAAGGTTCACATTCTTCCTAGTTGCAAAAATTATAAAAAGATATTAATTAAATAATAGTTATGTAAACAAACTTACTAACAAAAACAAAAGCATACATAATTATTTATACGAGTATATTAGAGTATTTCAAATATTGGAAGCTTATTTTTAAACCATTGTAAAATACTCTTAAATTTGTATATTCTTCGAAATTAAAACAAAAAAAAACCAGACGATTAAGGAAAAATACTCAAATGGAATAAATAATTATCTACTACTTAAATTATAGGAAAAAAAATCCAATTGCTTATATAAGACTTAGATAGTGTGCCAATAATACATGAACAAAAATAGTTTAGTACATATTTAAAGAATTAGGAGTGCATTTTTTATTGTTATTAATTATTTAAGTTACTAGCTGCTTACTAGAAATTGTACATAAAATTAAGGATAAACGTCTACAGGACACAAATACAACACATTGACAACATATCAAACGCTTTTGGTATTTTATTTGTCCCCCTCTTTGTTGGAAGTCTCCTCACCATTGGACAATAAGGACTCGCAATGTAAAATACTTACATATCGCTAGCTTAGGGCCGTTTTCTCAAGTAACCTGTAACTTTAAAGCTCACTTTATTTGTAAAGGTTGCATTACAATTTATGATTGTGTCTAAAGTAAAGCATTTTATGATCCATTTTAAATTAGTTTACAACCAAGAAAAATACGTACGTCATAAACCGATAATAGAAATGCTTAACTTTAGACATAGCTTTACTGTTAATCCAACCTTTAAATATAAAGACAGCTTTAAGGCCAGTAAAATTGTAAAAGTGGCGAATATTAGCAAGCAAGAATTCGACCACATCCTTCCAAGAAAGAACTCGGTAGGTATATCAATGGCTTCATTTGTACGATATTCAAGATATTGGTTCTCCTACAACAAAAATGGCGCATCTGTACTCTTCATAACGTCTTTTGTTGGCTCTTTTATAAACGGCGTTTCCACGGCAACCGAACCACGTTGTTCGCCCCCTCAATTACGAACGGCGAATCACCCTGTTTACACGACACATTTGCAAAAGGCCCAACACACGGATCGATTTATCGGCCAACCGCTAGAAGTTGGTGGTAAATATGCCGTGTGTAGGCAAGTTGGCAAATCTTCGTCAAGTTGTTCGTCAGGTTGGGGTAAAATCAAAAATTTTTGATTTTTGAGGCAGATTGGTCAACTTGCGGCTCTGTGTGTAGTGACAAGTTGGCAACCTAAAAAGCGATTTAATTTTTGTAAAGGCGTATTAACGTTAACATGTGTTTTTCGATTCGTTTCGCTAGTGAAAATGCGTATAATTTGTGAAAACGGGGGCGGTAGCAATAACATATACATAAAAATGAGAAGCATTCATTCCTAGCATAGCTTAAAAGTTTACCAGTTCTGTTGTGTTGTTCACAGTTCAAAAACTCTCACTCAAATGAAATCGGCCTGGTTGGTGCGTTTGTAGGGAATTTCGTTAAGTAGGTTGGTCAACTGTTTGGCCGAAAAATCAATGCGTGTGCAGGGCCTTTAATGTGTTGTTTATGAGCATTCCAACAGTGGGTGGAAAATAGTTGTGTTTTCGTATTCTCCAGCAAAAATATCCAGTAACCAAATTTCGGAGAGTAAGCCAATATTTACTCCCAATGAGTGAAATATGCAAGAAAGTACGAAAACGCAAAACCAGAAAGAAGTTGCTAGTTTTATGAACAGCTGATTAATTTGTTATTTTCCGATGCAATTTTCTTAGAAAACTAGTGTTTTCCATCTTATTATATATTAAAATAGGTTTATTTTTTCAATTGCAGCTCTAAGAGCACCACAAACAATTATTTTCTTAATGTGATTTACAATAAGCATCATGCCAGTAAAAATATAATAAAACTTGCAAGTTCAGCTGCCATTTTTGCTTTCTCAATTTCCCCTGTTTTGCTAGTTCCTTGCAAGTTTTTGCGTACGAAAACGATATCCAGTAAAAAACCAGTAAAATTAGTACTGGATTTACTGGATAGTGCGTACGCGAGCAGGGCTAATATTAGCTGCAAATTCGTATCGGGTTGTGGTTTTGTTACATATTGCTTTTTGTAAATTTTCAACAGTTAAATTATAAATTTTTAGTACAATTCCAAGTATTTCCTGCGTTTTGATACACGTCAGTGCCTTCATTTGCTTAAAATAGGCGAAAACGCAAGTGAAAATTAAAATGTGTGCCCATTTTTCTAAGGGGTCCCTAGGGACCTATATGGGGCCTAGCTGGTCGGCGGTTGTATTTTTGTAAATGGCGGTTCATGCCCTCTCTAAAATGGCGCCATACCCCCTCCCCCTTCGCCCACCGTCCCTTTAACCAACGCCCTCATTGGAAAGCCAGCGCCAAATTTAGCCTGCAAAGCTCGAACCGCGTCAGCTTTACTAAGTTCTGCAGCTTCTTCGCCCTCACTCTCGTGTAAATAGAACTGTTCCTGCTCGCTATCACTATCAGCAGTCAATTCCCTATGGGGACTTGGACATTTATCCTCACCCTCACTATCACTGACACCAACACTTAAGTCTTTTTGGGAACTCGGAAGCATAAGTACGGAGGGACATTCAATTACATTAACATTTGCTACACATTCCATTGCTTGAGTACATTCCAAAAGTTCTCTAAATCTTTTCGCATCAGATTCAAAGATCCTTTTTTCCTTACTCACGCAATTTTGGAAATACATACCTCTTTTTCATATTATTTAAACAATTGTTTATACCATGCACAATTTAAGATACTTATCTTCTTATTTTCGGCTATATTCCACCTGGGATTTGATTG